AAAAGCCTTGCAAAGTTGCCATTACTAAATACAATAAGTAAACAACCTATTTATCAAATTCCTGTTATATGCTAGTATGTTTATAATCTTCACCTTAAACATGCAAGTTGTTGATTCTAAACAATAGTTCAACGGCGTGTCAACCGAATGTGCGAACGTGAAGTTGCTATCACAACAATATTCTGTTGCGGGCTAACCGGAACTATTAAAGGGCGGTAGTCGTCGCGCCACGCATGCGCGAGATATATGGGTATCATATAAACAAAGATGGCGACATTGGTTTTTGGGCAGATCAGCGAGTACAAACTAAGACGTTACCGAGTTTTAATTATGTATTTTTAGGTGATTGGAAGGTATCGACGAAAGTCAGTGGAAGTCGCACCCAGGTCAGAGCTCGTTCTTGTGATTTCTATTAGAAGAACGCTTTGGATTGTGGGAAAATCAATGTTTATAAAAGGCCGCACATGCGCAGCGTGACGACCACTGCCCTATAGTAGTTTGAAAGTTATTAAACTTTTTAGTTATTGAGGGTCAGAAAGAGAAAATGGATGATAAACTGAATGTTAGCACAATTCAAAGTGTGTTTGACATAACAGATCATGAATTATCGTATATACAACATACCGCCATGTATATAGCATATCATAATGCATAAAACGTACCTGTAAGGCTGTTGGTGTAGTAATAACCGCAAGTGACTGATTCGTAATGAGATCAGGGCTTTTATAGCACCACACAAATCACACAACGCTTAGTCATCCAAGTAGGGTCAAACCAGGTCGCATATGCACTTTGTAAGTTCACGACAAGTTCACGAATAGTTCACGAATAGTTCACGAATGCGTGCCCATCAGTGTCCACATTGACACGAACTGGCACGACGAGTTCACGCATAGTTTGCGCATAGTTTACGCACTGCCCGCATTGGCACGACGAGTTTGCGCAATTCGGACGGTGGCGTGCCGACTTGGGCACGCCATATAAAAAAGGGGGCCTCCCCAACCCCTGGTCATTTTTGGATTGGCTGTGGCAGAGACAACATGCTGAATGTCAGAGACACAATCATTGCAGGGACGAGAAGATGCCTATATCTGGCAGCTGATCTAGCCATTGTTGAAGAGCAGCAGAAAAGGCTGGAAGAGGCAGAAGAGCAAGAAAAGGTAACCCCACTGGCGATCTCTGGAATGGCGAGCAGTGACCAAGAAGCCCTGCACCGACTCGAGCGCCACTGTTGCGCAGTAGTCGTGAACTGCTCGTGAACTCGTCGTAAACTGCTCGTAAACTAGTCATGAACTGCATAACTGCTCGTTCCATCAATGCGTGAAGTACACGTGACCGTGTCAGTGGGAAGGCACGGTCACGCTGCGACGCGCACCAACTGGTGAACATGTCTTCAACTACTCGTGAACATTTTGAACATTTCAAAATTCTCGTCCCGACATGGCACGCAGTCACGACGTGTTTACGCACACTTCACGCCAGTTCACGACTAGTTTGCGCACTGGCGTGACACAAAATCGTGTAAGTGTCAAGCTGGCTTTAATGTTTAAAAATGTTAGTGACGTATTCTCACCATTGGCTGATTTAGATGAGGTCCGAGGGGACCGCGGCCCCCCTATTTTTAACAACCAACAGGGCTTCGCGCCATCGGCGCTCGCGAACTTGGCTTTATGCCATCTTATCGCCCCCCCCTATTCCAGAATCCTAGATCCGCCCCTGCTCACGTGGTCTTGATTGGGTATTTTTTATTGCGTCTGTATACTCGTATAAACAGAAGTAAGGGGAGTGTAAATTCGATTCAATGATTTAGTTTTTCATTGAAATGTGTACAACTGCCATTTTTGCCACAGATTTCAAACAATTGAAAATGTATGATTTGTATTTTGGGATGATATGTTTGGGTGTAATACATAATAAATAATAAGAATATATGTGAATTATAAATATATAGCTCTCGTTAAGGCTCTTGTAAAAAATGTCAAACTTTACGGCCCTCGATATAGAGCACTTTTGTCTTTACCGCGCCCCTTCAGTGGGTATATTCTTGAGCCCTGTACGAGTTATAATAACGCATACACAGTGCAGTGAATGCATTACAGATTGATATACCGGGCCCGAATTTTGGCACTACAAAAATCGACCAATGACTGAGACGCCAAAGCATGGTTTTATAAATACATAAGAATAATATAAGAACCTGTATTTTCAGAGGTGTATTCTTAATTGTATTGATTAACAGTAGTTAACAGCAATGTGTTGTCCCGATGACATGCCTTCATGACCATCGCGCTTTCCAGTTCTAATGTAAATATACTCACATTTAATAATATACACATTATCATACTAGAATAGTTCACCCGTCTGTCACATTCATCTTTATTGTAGGTAATAGCTTTTACCTATTGGTCATCAGTCCAAAGTATCTGTATATGTCCTGAGTGATCATAATTCATTTAAATTATTGATTCGATATTGCATGGATTCTTTTCATACTCCTTATTCACCCCCACATCATAAATAATAATTATATGTTATTTATTATGCTGATCATGGTGACTTAGAAAATTAAAAACATTATCTTGGACTTATTAGAATAATAAACCCTCCTCCAAACTACCATCAGCACACACACCCACTCTTATAATGTATTGCAGTATTCTATGATAAGTCTATGAGGGTTTTGTGAAAACAGTTCTCATAATTTTTAAATGAACATTTCTACGCAAGTGTAGTTACAGTTTGCGCGTCGTCCGTGCCTTCCAAACTAGGTTAATTTGATTCATTTGCATATACTTGATACCCAAGACAAAAACCACCGAAGCAATAAAGAAATTAAGGTGTATATTTGTGTTCATAAGTACCGGGGGGGGCAGTTGATACATAGCTGGGTGGGGAGGTGCCCCTGAGTGCTCAAAAGTGTAACCATTTTTATACCTGGATAGTGGCAAAATCTATACCCATATTTATACCAAAGTACCATTTCTGTCATCACTGTTTATTCCAAATAAAACAGTTACCGTATTTGCTCTTTACAGTTGCATTATATATTGATTTATTAAAATGATTGCCTTGTTTAATTTCCGGGTTGATGTATATATGGATCTGAGGCCGGGATCTGAGGTGGAGATATTCGCTAATCGGAAAAATATTACCGATATTTATACCTATCTTGACCAGAAATAAGACCTTACCTAAAATCCCCAAAACGAGACCCATTTCAGGGGCACGTCCCCATTAGGCAAGTTCTATGTATTGCCCACCGGGAGAGTGGGGGGGGATACTCGGCGTATTACACTTTAATTACACCTAATTACAATCATATGGTCTGTATGTAATCAATATTTATTTATTTGATATCATTCATACCGAACACAGGATTACCGAATTCATCTACATAAACTATTTGCTTTCCAGTGTGGTATGGTATCCAGGTAAAATCCTCGACACTAGTTTTCTAGTGAGTACCAATCAATTTATAGCGTGAAACATTGAAATGTGACCTGAAACGCAGATACAAACTATTTTTATCATATTGTTATTGCTATTGTCCATTCATTCTGTAAACTCCAATAAAAATGGTAGTTACATGCCTAGATAAACAAAAGATAAACATGTTACGATAAACTACAACTAGGAAAATGTTATACAGTATATTGGAATTGAATACATTCATCGGTAGTTGCGCGACATTGATTGGTCAAGCGGGGATTAGTGTCACTGTACATATGAAGTATACATTTGTATTTACGTTGTAGTAAACGTTTGTGGATTCTGCATTATCGTTTTCTTTTTTGTTTCTATTTACATAGAACTCTCATGTAATACTTCTATGTTTTCATTGTGGTTACCTTCTTTATATATTAATATAATATATATTTTAGGTTTTTCAGTATCGAACAAAATATGATATATTTGATTCGCCTAACCTAATTAATTAATTGTCCATTAGGATATCCTATCTCGCAAAATGACTAACAAGCTATGATGTGAAGTATTTTTTTAATACACCATTTCTGCATTTCTTAGTTCACATAAAGTGTTGCATATTACCCGATCCTTTGAATCACAATAACACATAGGCATTTATCTACAAGAAACAAATAAGACATTTGAACAATATCTGTTTGTTGAAATAGTTTAATAAAAACAATCCTGGTCATTTAAATACAAATTTCTTGAATGATGCATGTAACACAATAACACCTTGCGGAAAATAAACATACATTACCAATACAAACTCCATATACATACAGACCTTTATAGATAAGTGATCTGATGGTAGAGAATGTTCTGCTGTCCTATAAGAACATATTAGCGCAACAGAGCTGATAGAAAGTTGATCAAGTATCACTCGGACTGATAGTTGTTAAGATGAAGTCGAAAATATCACTTTTACCAAAAAAGACCAAACTGTGGAGGTAGATAAATAAATACAAACGCAAATTCACAAGGTTATCACACAGATATTACAACATGGTTGTTTGACTATTAATACAAGAAAATAAGATTACAGTGTAATAAAAAATAACCCATGACACAAACTCTTGTCATAATTATATTAACACCAATTCGGTTTACTTTTGTTACAAAAATATTGCAAGTTTATTATTTACATAGACCGAATTGCTCATCATGTGATATTACATCTATGCTTAATATATAAATATACAAAGTCATCTAATATGCTAATTCACATACTAAATCGACCATTTCTCTTTCAAAATCTGCGTCATGTGTGACATCGAACGTAAAAACAGGACAAACAAAGATCATATAGTCGTTGTGACGTCAAAACATTGCGTTAATTGGAGATTGTGACGATTGTCACCTACTCCTACCCTTGCTACACCGTCACCTACTCCTACCCTTGCTACAACGTGATAATGTTGATACACAGTTCTGACAAATGTTTCTTTCTGTCGCTCAGTATTGTATGCAAACAGCATTCTCACACAGTTTAACATGTGTATACCTATTCTCGAATGTTGAGGGATACATGTTCATAAAGGTAGAGCAACCGTGTCACTTATTTCAATAGTTGGATCATTAGCTCGGTTGTTCTCGAATTCAACAGACTCAACAACAGGTTTAACAGTGGTAGCTGTGGGTGTGTTTTTATTGGACGACTTGCAAGGCTTTGGCCACCATTTGTCTTTACATACATAGAGAAGAAACAAGACGAAAAGTGAACCAATGACGATACCAGCAATAGCTCCACCACTTAGTCCTCTAGAAGTATTAGTTAATCCTGTAATACATACATGTATTTAAGTGTACATAGGTAGATAATGTGTTATTGGTATTCGGTATCTTTGTACACAAGTGATACACACACACATACACACACACACACTCAGTTGACTCATTCATGAAGTGATTTACGCATATCTTCATATAAGGTTATGTGAAGCAGCATATACCAAGCTCCACTGAATGGAAAGCATGAGAAATAGCATACGATAAAATACATCTAGCGAGTGTAGTGTCTGTGTGTCATTTCATATTATCTATATGAATATAAAGTCAGAAGGATTCAGCCAATATATGTAAAATTTTTCAAACTGCCATTAACCAAGGTTTTCGTTATAATATTAGAATAGACAGCACAATGGCACAAAGCAAATAACTACCAAACGGACATTACTCCAAAAAGTATTTTGACATACACAGACCAGGTTAACACACATCTCTCTACTTGGTAATTGAATACCCATAAACATAAGCCAGTCATGGACTAGGCATTGCAAATTTCATAAAATAGAAAACACTATTTAATTTGAAATTTCATCTTGTGTATACATACCACTGCAGTCAGGGGTTTCTGTTCTGTAATCTTAAGATAAATTGAACAAAATAAAAAATATTCCAATAAGTTAAATAAATAAATAAATAAATAAATAAATAAATAAATAAATAAATAAATAAATATTATGTAATCATACTGAATACATCAGAAACCTATTTTTGCATATATCTTCCAAGTAATTTTATATGCGATAATTCATTCATACCTTTATTTGCTTTGCACATAAATCCAGTTCTATGGTAGCAATCTTTGTCATTCCATTGTCCAGACTCGTACATCTCCACACAATCTTCTATTCCATCGTTGTCGTTAGGCTCCCCTGCTACCCAGTTGGAATAAGGCATATTATCATTGTCTATCCATTCAAAAACCCCTAAGTGATTCAATAAAATATAAAACATCTACTGATGTTGATTCCTCCCTAAGCAATAATAATACGCTTTGGAATATAATGAATCAATACAATATTGTAATTTATTCAAGCACATGTGGTTATTTTCTTAATCGTGCAATCATATTGTGTGGCAGACTATGTGAGAAGATATTGATTTACTTGGAATCGTGCAATTATACTGTATTGGATGATAGGTGATAAGGCATTGATTTATTTAGAATCGTTCCATCACACTGTGTGGGAAGCTAAGCGAAAAGACATTGATTTACTTGTAATCGTGCAATCATACTGTGTTGGAGGCTAAGTGAGAAGACATTGATTTAAGTCGAATCGTGCAATCATATTGTGTGGGAAGCTTAGTGAGAAGACATTGATTTACTTGTAATCGTGCAATCATACTGTGTTGGAGGCTAAGTGAGAAGACATTGATTTAAGTCGAATCGTGCAATCATATTGTGTGGGAGGCTTAGTGAGAAGACATTGATTTACTTGTAATCGTGCAATCATACTGTGTGGGAGGCTAGGTGATAAGAAATTGATTTACTTAGAATCGTTCCATCACACTGTGTGGGAGGCTAGGTGAGAAGACATTGATTCAACTGGAATCGTGCAATCATACTGTGTGGGAGGCTAGGTGAGAAGACATTGATTCAATTGGAATCGTGCAATCATACTGTGTGGGAGGCTAGGTGAT